TCATTTTATATAAATATGCTCTTATCTCAGGCGACTTTATATTTAAAAGAGAAAAAATTTGGATACTAGTCTTCCTGACCGTTTATGATGAGTATGACATGCATTCGATGCAATCTATTATTTTTCGGACATGCGCACTTGAACTTCGTAATTGTTTACTAAAACAAAGTGTGTTGCAAATAAGGAAGATAATTGAATCTTTCTTTTTCAAGTCTGGTAAAATATACAAAATGTAAGGTGTACACAATGTGCCTCTCATTAGCTTCCTTCTTCCTGCTTGCCACTTCAATGACATAAATTACATAATATGTTTGGACAGTTTTTCTTAATTTACTCAACTACCAGAATTAAAGATGTATTAGACTCAAATTTGATATTTGAAAATATTGGAAATTGCTACACAATTCCTTTTGTTACGATCAAATTAACATTTTTTTGAGTACACACTGAGTATAATGTTTTTAACTGTACGCACTACAGGTAGACACAGTATGAATACACAGTGTAAATAAAAAAACAAACTGGCAGTTTTTTTGTTTTGTTTTTTAGAAAAGGCCAACTTTGCTTGACATGTAATTGGGAATGCAGTTTCTAATACACAGTTTGTGTATTCTATTATTCAAATTAGACATAATTAGTAAGACTTTCATGTAGATCCACTTAAATAAAATTTCTGCAATAAAAATATTTTACTAAAAGATGAGCCAAGTATATCTTTAACATGTTTTTATACTTATTCTAGAAGCTGTATATCTAAAAACTTTTATAAAAATAACACATGTCTCTCGGGGTTATAGTGTATATTAGTAACCCGAGAACTAAAATATCACCCGAGACGGACCGTAGAGGTCGATCGTGTTTTTCAGTTCAAGGGTTGCTAATTTACACTATTACCCTGAAAGACATGTGTTTTGTTTTTTTCCCGTTTTTTTCGTTGTTTTTTTTCATACCGAACCAACATTTTAATGTAATTTATGACCGCTATGCATTATTACTCCATTGATTTTTATCAGGGGAGAGAACTAGAAATAAGTATATATAGATTACCCGCCCCTTTGAAATATTTTCTAAAAATATTGATCTCCAGTATGATCGAAATAACACCATGTGACGTCATATTCGGCTATACAATAAAATGTTTGTTTAAACGTGAGGTATAAAAACATTATATATATGTGACATGCAGCAAGTAGAAGAAAATGTACTTTCAATCATTATGTATAAAGGCAATTTTTAAGTTCACTATCAAAAGAATTAAAGATTTATTGATATGTAGTTTCCGTATATAAAATGGAAAACAAACTTAGATTGATGATTGCTGATTTGTGCCATTCGTGTTTTCGCTAGCGACCCCGTCAAGCGAAAAGTTGAGAATTAACAAGGCGCGGAGCGAAAACACGCTTATTAGCGGGGACCCGGGCGAAAAGTCGAGATTTTAATTGTAATACGGCGGGGCCGCGAATCGAAATATTTATTGTTAATAGGGCGCTTATTAGCGTGCTTGCACCTTGCCAAATTATTCTTAAAATGCTCGATATTTCGCTCCGCGCCCCCGCTAAAAAGCCTGTTTTCGCTCCGCGCGCCTGCCGTGTTAGTAGTCAAAATCTGGACTTTTCGCCCCGTGCCCACGCTGAATAGCGAGATCTGATACACGAAATGGCACAAATCAGCTACCATACATAATCTCAAACTGATTAGTGATTCTATTACAATTTGCTTTAACTTGAAATTTATTTTTTTCGGCTGTAGTGTCATTTGAAAATTTTACTTGTTATAAAAACAAGTACAGGCGAACTATATAAATTCAGCGCTTTTATCAAAAAGTTGATACAGTTTGGGGTATTCTCAGCATGGAGATACCAATCACGTTTGAATGTTTGGTATTTCGTTAATGCAAAAGATTTTATTATTTTACGGTATGAAATTATTTTACTGTCAAGTTATTTCAGATATCACTACCGTAGACTTATATTATATTTTTATTATTATATTGATATAAATGTATATCTTAGAACTTATTGAACACATTTGACGTTACTAAATAACCTAAAATTCGTCGCCTTATTCTAAAAATGTCCTAACTCCATTTTTACCAAAAATGAGATAACTGCACATTTATTTTAGTATTAGTTTGTTCTATCTCCAAAACAAAACTTGTGAAGATTTACGTCATACTTTTGTAGATATAGCGTCTGTATTTTGTTCTATGTCCAATGGAAAGCTTTGCTGTTAGCCTTTTTTCGTCGTATCTCCAACACATGTAACACTTTTAGGCTAATCTTTCGTGCCAGCCAATCAAGTTGAAAAATATATGTCATGTGACCTGAAGGGGCCTGACAATATAATTGTTCTAACTCCAGTGATAACAACAACAATCGTATCTAAATCAGCCAGCTAACTAGGAAAGTAACAGTTAAAAAATGATTTCTGAAGCATGTAAGTAATATATTTTAGCTTTTATACGTTTTATAAGTGAATTTATATTTTGTATTAGTATTTGTTTCATAGTATTATCATTATTTTATATATATTTCTCAAAGTTTCACAATCACATAGTTTCGGATAACTATATTCGGATATTCGTATGAACTATTTAGAACTATTTGGAGTATCGAACATTGTTGTTGTTTAATTGTTAATGATAATATTTTGTCCATTTCAGGTCAGACTTACTTACATTATCAGACTTTGTCCTTACAGAAATGTTGTCTCTTAGAACTTGTGACTGCAGTTAGCAGAACTTCCACAAAACTATGGAATTTTATATCAACAACATCAAGTCTGTGGGGAAGTTTTGACTTGCCATCAGTTTCAGATAAATCATTGTTTTAAGTCTTAAAATATTCACAAAATAAATAGATATTTAACATTCCAATGGGATCGGAATACCACTGTCTTGTCAAAACATAGATTTTAAGTTTGCATGCGAGTTTCAGTGTTCTCCGGGTCATCAATGATTATATTTATTAGATAATAGCAGAATTCTTAAAGCACAATACGGCATGATCTAAAATGTTGCCGGCTCGGTTTGATTTAGCCTGTTATGGAATGTCCAGTATCTACGTTGTACGACAAAAACCAATATGGGAGATCGCAAAATTCACTGGATGTAAAATCTTGAAAACGACGATTTTGCAATCTTGAAAGATTGTTAAGAACTTGAGCAGATATTTTTTCATACGTTGATATTAAACCACAAACAATACTTGAGACTTTGAATGCATGTGGTATTGACTTTAATTGTGTGAATTAAAAAGAATTATTGGAAACATTTTAACATTGATAGAAACGATGGCAAATGTAAACTATGTATATATAACTCTATTGATTCAGAATACCACTTCCTTTTATGTTGTCCAATTTATACTGTTATAAGAACCAAGTATTTAGGAAACATTTCATGGCCTACTATACAAAACTTTTTGACTATATTGTCCACTAATAACAAGAAGCTTATTCTTAAATGTGCTCACGTACTATGTTCATAATGCATTTAAGTTGAGGCAACAGTCTCTTGAAGATGTAACTGCTTCTTAATTAGTTTCATTTTTGTACTCTTTTTGTTATATATTGTATGATGTAATGTTTGTAACTATTTAACTTTTGGCCATATTTTTCATGATACTCTGTTAATGGCCAAAGGTAATGTTTATTTGCCGATTCGCCAATAAAATGAAATGAAATGAAATGGTAATATAATTTATATCTGTATCATTTAATCACAATATTAGAGATGGTTACAATCATTTCATTTTTCATAATGGTTCAAAATATGTCAGTTTGTTTTAGCAAGTTCATTGATTAAAAATTTTGTAAAATGTTTGTTTTTCTTTTTTTATGGCACAATTTTATATTGTTATTATCGAGAAAGGCCCACGTTGGAGATCACGTGAATGAATTTACACTTTGACATAGTAATTTACGAAGATAAAGTGATTCAGTGTCAGCAGTTCAACCACTCTGGCTGAAAATGTTCTTTAGAATGTAAAAATCTACTAATATTCTATAGTAAAATTATTACTCTTAAAAAATGCTAACTCAAAAAGTATTTACAATTTTAGCCTTACTTTGTCATATCTCCGCAAACTCATTTTTAGAGTAATTTTTTAATCTAAAAATAAACATTTTTGGTTTATCTCCAAATTTTTTTTTTAATTTTTACAATTACTGCAAATTATAAAGGTATATAACAAAGTGCTTTCATCACATGTTGACATCTATAATACCAATCCAGAAGTCCACACTGTTAGGAGTTATTAAATAAAAGTTACAACGTCTTGAACGTTTAACCCCTTTTTCCCAAAAAAGAGGAAATTGTAGATACACCATTTTTAGAATAGGGCGACGAATTGCATCATTGAAGAACAAAATCATGGAGATGACACAATGACTGTTTAATAACACAAATATATTCAAATCTTATATTATTTGCATACACCTCATGGAAAATATTTTTAAACATTATGTCGCAAAGCCATCTGTTAAGATTGCTAAGTCTATCAAAATCCTGCATAAAGCACAACACTGAGTCACGTAATGTACGGAATAATTCAAAGTTGTATAGATAACAATCAATGCATAGTAATCATAACAAAATATTGACTAACATTGTATTCAAATCATTCATAATATGAAAATATAAAAAAAATTAAAATAACATCAGCATGCATAAAAAAAGATAACGAGATAGAAACGAAGTCATTTACTTAAAGCACTGCCCGTTTGTAACGTCAATTTCCATTGGCAAATGATAAGACGTTTATATCAGATGAAGTGTTAAAAATGGTTAACAGGTTAATATCTTATGTTACTCGTAACAGCCGTATATAACGAGTCATATTACTTGACAAACATACCTTAGATTATAACTTATATCATAAATACATCTATTCAAATATTTCATTTCAATGATATGTCATCATAATAAATTTGTATCACAGAATTGCTCTTTAAATTAAAAACTAATTGCTCGATTCTGAATATTGAATGCATATAAGCACTTATTCATAGTTTATACTGAACTTTATTACATCAGGTACAGAACACGCTTTTGGTACTGATTTGTTTAGTGCGAGCCCGTACTGCTCATCAACTGTTGGCGTTAAACAAACTTGAATACGAGGGTGGTAAACTTTCATATGATGGCGGCTGTTCTGTGTTTCTTTGCGCATTAAGCTGAGACCTTGCCTGCTGGCCTGTGCCTGTATTTGTATTATTTGTTACACTGTTAATATTATGATTGGGTGATGTTGCTCTATTAGTTGATTGTCTTAAATTACCATTTGATGAACTGGTTTCATTAGTCTGAGATAAAGTCCATACATTTCTATCTGTGTGATGAGTAAAGTTAGAATTAATATTTGGTGCGGTAGGAGTTCGTGGAGTATTTCTTGGTGACGTGCTGAATGAATTCAATGCTGATCCTTCTCGTGGTGGTTCTGTAAACGATAATGATAAGGTATAGATAATCCAATCTTGCAAAATATATTAATTGTCCAATTTTGCAATAAATGCTGAAAATGATATCTAATTAAATGACAGAGATATCCACTGAACAAACATTTCATACGCTGATCGCTCACATTTCATTTCAAGTCTGTTGTATTTTCTTGTTACAATGGTAAATTGACGTAGGATACCCGAATTGTGTCGTAAACAGATACACAAACTAACTCAAAATATCATTATTTAGGGTGACAAGGCCTAGTTGTAAGGGTGTCTGCATCTCAATTCAGAGATCAAGTCAGGTCTCGGTCAAGTCCATGTTTCCTAATATGACACGAATACTGAAAACGAACTCATTAGTGTTTGCAACTTTTAAGCTGAGGCATGGGCAGTTCTTTAAAATCATCATAGTTCATTCGGACAATAGTTATTTAAAGGCCCATTAAGCCCTTGAAACGATATTATCGTTTTGTATTCCTTATTCTTTACAGCACATTACTGTGTATTCAACTCTACTTATTGCAGTTGTTTAACATCTAAGATGCTCTAGTGTATTCAACTCTACTTATTGCAGTTGTTTAACATCTAAGATGTTCTAAGATTCATTATCAAAATATTATCAAATACATATCTGACCCTTTAAAGAATTATTTCTGAGGCATAATGTTCCTTTAAGTCTATAAAATAGACCTATGTGAGCGAACCGATCTCATATATATGTATATTTGAATTCCTTGTTAGTTATGAAAATATTGCCACTAAACATGTCCATATATGTTACATATAATCAAGAGAATAAGAGGATTAACGTGGAAGAACAACGGTTTCCTAAAGGCATACTTGTGATTTGCTACAACACTCTTTAGATACAACCATTACCTACCCTGCCTTAATGAGATTACTTCTCCTGTGGTCCCTTCTTTCTTCCGCAAGCAGCACACGACACCAACAATAATTGACAATAAAAGCATACCCGCACCTAGACCCATAAGTGTCCAAAATACCGAGCCCATTGACCTAAAATAATTTATTTTTATATTTGTATGATTAAATACAGAAATATCATGTTTAACAGGTTACATAACACTAAAATTTTGTCTTTTTCATCAATTTGTTATTAATTCATAGCGTTCATTCAGTAATGGACCTAATATTTATTTAGTACACTATGCTCTGTGCGAACTGTATTTTTAATACTGGACAACAGAAATACATGTATTTAATTATTGTAAAATCAATCGTGAAACACATAAAAATAAAGACAACCTGTTCTGTAGTAATATTAAACGGAAATTTCGCTGACCCATTTAATCAGCGCCTTGTTTGATAGATGTTGGCTGATATCTACTTATACGAGTATAAACTGAATGAAGCAGTACGCTTTCACGCCCGGCAAATTATCGCTCCACTTCAAAATTGTGGTGTACGGTAAAACGAGCGAACGGCATTTCCGAGATAGAGCGGAAGGCCGATTTAAACGCCTAATTGTAAGTATTGTTTATGTTTTTGTCTTGTTATTCATTTAAGTTGTATTTTTTCGAAAAACGGAAAATGTAGTTCCGTGTAGGATTGATTTAGGCTTCCAATGATCTAAACTGTTACAAAAAGAAAATTCTATTAAGCCCGGGAGAACTTTTCTCCCTGACGAAGCGAACAACGATTTGTAGAATAATGAACTTCCCAACGATAGGAATGCCATACCCTTCTGGTTTCTTAAAAAAGTGTTTTAGTAAATTATCAACCCGTAATAAGAACTTGTCCTTCGTGCAACATAAATTACTCCTGAAGGATTTCTTAAATTTGTAAATTTTCGAAAAAATACAACTTAAATGAATAACAAGACAAAAACATAAACAATACTTACAATTAGGCGTTTAAATCGGCCTTTCGCACTATCTCGGAAATGCCGTTCGCTCGTTTTACCGTACACCACAATTTTGAAGTGGAGCGACAGTTTGCCGGGCGTGGCTTTCCTACATGATATATTACAAAGTAAATACTTTCCTGAAAATTGTAAATGGACAGCGTGTGAAACATATTTTTTTAGAAAATCAAACAAATACACTTGGCATATAATATGTTGTATTTTGTGTTTGAAATTATCTTTCTGTCCAAAAGAATAGCAGTATTTCAAATGGATCATAATACAGTTACCTCAAAATGGTAAATCGGCTAAATGCAATCAGTTTAGTAAATCGACAGTTTTATTAAAAATATTTCAAACACTAAATTGGTTAGTGTTTATTAGTTAACATTTACTACAATAAACTGTTCGAATGGCTGCACCGTTCATAACCAATCTGCTGGTGTAATAAATCCTTACTTACAAACACTCACGTACACATAATTTGAACGGTAAAATATGACATACTCGGCCCACGTACAGCATCGGACCGGATCTTTGTCGAAACAACACCCATTTTCACACCAAGTATGTTTCTTTTGTTCTTCCCGGTCTGAGCAATCCCATGCTAATGTAACTACAATTGAAATTATACTATTCTCATTTTTTTTCTTAAAAAACACTCAAATATTAAAAAAAAATATTTGCAAGTAGTTTACTCTGATACGTGTTCGTGAAGTATCTACTAGTATGGGAAAATTGCCATCGTCTACTCCAACAATTTACTCGTTTTCATCAGTTAATTTGTTACAATTTTTTGCTGGACTGTAAAGACAGTTTGTAGCCTTAATGACCTTCATTGGCGTTTGATGTAATTAGGGGCCAAATGAAAGCACAGACCATTACCTAGGTAGGACTTGAAACAATGTTGAAAAGAGGACAATTTTATAAGTCTTGCTTCAAGTTGTTTGTTTGATTGGGTTTAACGTCACAGCGACACAGTAAAGGTCTTCGGGCGACGTTCCATCTTTAGTGGTTGGTGAATACCTCAGGTGCCCTTCCGTGCATTATTTCAGGCACGAACAAGCACCTGAGTAGAACCACCGACGTTCCTTAAGGTAGCTGAATAGCTTTCTCACATGAAAAAATCCAAATTCCCTGTCGGGATCCGAACCCCAATCGGTGAGGGACAAATGGTTCAAAGTCAACAACCTTAACCACTCGGCAACGGAGTCAAGCGAAGTCATTAAGACAGTTATTTATGTATAATTAAGCAAACAATTATACATACCATTACCTTTCAAACCTTTAACTAATTTATCAAAAATACAAATTTTTTAATCAAGAAAAATAAAAAATAAACGTAACAATAATTTGCAGGGGTTAGTACTAAAATGTCAAAAAAAACCCACTGAGGCAATTTAAAACACTTAAAACTGTCAAACAGTTAAATTTTATGTGTTTCCTCTTTAAATTGTACGTTAAATTTGTCGGTTATTTTTTAATGAAAATAAAAATAATTTCACTGGGTTTTTTAAATATTATTTTTTAAAAATAAAAATATATTTTTAACTATTGGGAAATAAAATACCAAAAAAATAATGGAAATATTCCCTGTAATAAATAATCCAATCCTTCCTAAAAGTATTTTTCCTATTTTAAAACAAAATGAATGTTTCGAAACAACATTCTATATTTTACCACTTTATTGATTTGTGTCCTTATTTTAGTTCACGTAGGCACTCAAGCGTATCAATGTAAACAACGCATTTTTGCATGTAGATAAATTAATATGTGAAATACGCTAAACTGACATATTAAGACGCTTTAAGTATACAACCAAAGCATCCTGTAAATAAAGAATTTTGTATATTTTTTTTTAATTTAAAAAAAAAAATATGCAAATGCACCACTAGTTTAGTAGAAACTCATTCATGATGGTAAACAAGCGGTGTACAAGGTATCTATTAACAAAATGATAACACGTTTGTCAACTGAAGTATTCTATACCTGCGTATTAGGTAATAAATCTTCAACACGACTAAAGAGGGTGGTGATTATGTTTACTTTCTTACCGAAAATGTAATCTATATAACAAAAATGTCCGCTCATTGTTTACAATGGATGTATGTGGTATAAATAAACACGTTATTTTCATACTATAGAAATTATATAAAAAAAGGATTTTTATCAACCTATTTGTAAATTCCACAAGTATCTATTGCAATTTTGTATTGGAAACATGGAAGAAGAAATAAATATATATTTCTTAATCAAAACGTCAAAAGTCAAATTTCAAAGCCTGTACAGATTTTATATGTCGATATTCAATTTATATTATTTTCGGAGATCAATCAATACAAGTTTATTCAAGTGACGATACACATGCATTTGACCTCGAAAACAGGTTCATTTCTTTTAACTTTTTCGATTCATGTTAAAATGACAATATGTTTATTTTAATATTATAATTAGTATTACTGGGTTTAGTAAGTAATACATCGTATATTTCGAGAATGTTACTACTTAAATGCTGATTTGACCAATAATTGATAATTCATTAGTTAAGGAATTTTAATGTTAATATTCGTTTCCACTACACGTTACTGCTCACTGAGCTGGATTTTGAACTTTTTC